GCTTTGAGTTGTGGGAATCAAACCACAGCAACCTGAGCCTGACTGCTTTGTTGAAGCAGCCACTTAAAGAACTGAGCTAAGGGGCAGGCCCCCAGCAGAGCAATTTGTAAAAAATACTACTGACAATGTTTAATAGTGGGGAAAATATGAAAAGAGAAAAGAACCTACCTTCTCCACGGAGAAAACTAAAAGCAGAAGTTGACATCTGAAAAAGCTGCAGTGCAGGGACACACTGGAGCGGTGCACAGGCGTAGCCGCAAGACCCGCCCGGCTTTCCCACTGCTAGCCACACTTGGGTCTTGCCTGGAGGTGAAGAGCTGCCTTGGTTTTCTTTTAGAGCATGGTTGCCCTCAGATAATGTGCTCACGTTCATTTCTGTGCTACTCTTCTGGAAATTCTTCTGTGATTCAATATATACTGATATATATTCCTGTTACATTTTCCCATCTTCTAGCCCACAGTTCTACACTGCTTTGGGGATGTAGAGGCCCACCTGCCTGCGTTCCTACACAGGCCCCCAGTAGTACCAGGCATAAGCAGCAGCGCTGTGGTCTTAGTCGCCTTTATATCCTACCAGCACATAATTAGTTTTGAATCACTCAGTCATTTAATGACTTCTTCAGGCTGTTGTGACTTTGACTCACTAAAAGCCCTGAAAGGCTCAAAAGATATTTGGAGGAAAGACAGCTTCTTCCACAAGTGATGCTGGGAAAATTGGTTGATCACAGGCAGAAGACTGAATCTAGAACCAAATCTCTCACCGTGCAGTGTAGTAGACTAAAATCAAAATGGATTTTGATTTAAAAAAAAAATCCACATGTTGAAAATGAAACAATCTGGGCTGGTGAGATGGCTCTGTGGTCTAAAGCACCTACTTAGAACAAGCTTAGCAAAGCACAGGGACCGCAGTTCAATCCCCCAGCACCACATGCCAGCCAGTCCCGCCCCCTGGTGGGCTGAGCTGGCCCCCCCACATAAATAAATAAAAGAAAATGAAACAATCTGCTAGAAGATTTAAAATATGTAAAACTCTTGATGTAAGCATGGGCAAAGACTTTCTGAGTAGAATCCCAGTGGATAAGCAGTCACATCAGGAGTCAACAAATTGGAATTGTATCAAACTAAAATGCTTCTGCATGGCAAAACAAACTGTAACTGAAGAGATAATCTACAAAACAGGACATTTAAAAAAATGTATTTGGTTCAGGGTCTCTCTACACAGCATGGACTCATACTAATCCTCCTGTTTCAGCCTCCCCAGTGTTGGGATCACAGGCGTGCACCACTATGTCCAGTCTCGGGGGCCGGTTCGGTGCACCCAGTGGTGGGGCTGGTGCGGCCTTAAATATTGCATGGTTTCTCTTTATAACAAGAGACTTCAAATATAAATGAAGAACACAATCAAAGCTATACAGTAGGAACAGGGAGTTAGGGAGGAGGACTAAGAGATGGCGGAATGGAAGGACAAGGAGGGGAAAGCTATTAGAAAGGAATTAGGATGTGTTAGCACCCACGCCCTTTCTGCAGGAATGTAGTCGTGATGTGCTGCAAACTAATAAAGAAAGAAAAACTGAAGAAAGAAAGCTTGCAAAATTTTATTCAGTAAAGGAATTCTCATACAAACTCATAATGCTTTTTTCTTTCTTTTTCTTTTTCTTTTTCTTTTTGTTCTTTTTGAGACAGGGTCTCACTCTGCAGTGCAGGCTGGCCTTGAGCTCACTTTGTAGCCCAGGCTGGTCTCAAACTCACAACGATGCTCCCACCTCAGCCTCCTGAGTGATGGGAGTACAGGTGTGTACCACTACATTTGGTTTAATAATGCACTTTGAACTGCAGTTTCTACTATTGTCATATTGCCCGGCCAGCTGTTCCATCTAACTTGGGTTTCTACCCCTCTTCTCTAGCCCTTATTTTCTTTTTCTTTTTTCTTTCTTTCTTTTTCTTTTTCTTTTCTTTTCTTTTTTTTGTGGAACCGGGGATTGAACTCAAGCCCTTGCACTTGCCAGGGAAGCGCTTATTCCACTAAGCCATCTCCCCAGCCCTCTAGCCCTTATTTTCATAGGAATTGTGGCTTTAAACTTTTAGTATGTCCATATTTGGGGTCTTAATCTTCCAAGACTGTAATTTTCAGGATTTTAGGCTTTAGGGATTTTGATGTTTTGAGACTTCAACATTTGGGATTATGGCATCTGAAACTGTCTTTCTGGATTAAAACCCACACCACTGTTTCAAATTTCTGGGGCAAAAGGTACTGAGAATGAAATATCCAGAGAGAAAGAAGAAAGGCCCAGAACAATGGGGAAGAGTCCTTGTCCTCTCAGGACAGTATGTTTTGTGTGAGATCAAGGATCGACATCCCTCTGAAGTAGAAAGCCAGAGTGATGTGCTTGCGGGTCACTCAGAAGCGAGGTGTGCGCAGTGTGCACAGGTGTGACCCCAGCCACCCGGGCAGCTTTCTAACAGGAGTGCAGCTCGTCCTGAATGCTGAGCTTCTGCTTCTCCTCGATTCCTATCTGTAACCCACGTGCTTCTCCTGGCCTGTGTAAGTGTCTGTTCCTGGTCTAGACTTAGGAAACTTTGCAGATGCCCAAGAGGCAGCAAAATATATTGATGAGTTTTCATAATATTTTGTAAGTGACAGTTAAATATAAGAGCTTCATTTATGAAATGAGCATTCCTATAAAGACCAGGAAGATTGATTCAAGAGCTGCATCTCAAGTAAAAATGAGATGAGTAACATTCTATATTTTATTTTATTTTTTTATTTTATAGTTTAAATGAATATTATTTTTCCAGGTTAATAGAATTGCAGCTTCTCACTTCAACACATGTCTTTAGTCAGCTTTCTGGTGCTGTGACAAAATATTTTGTCATCAACTTAAAAAGAGGTAAAGTTTATTTTCCTCACAGTTTCGGAGGTCTCAGTTCATGGTTGGTTGGCTTCAGGGTACAACATCAAGGTGGGAGCATGAGGTGGAGGAAGTTTATTCACCTTATAGTCAGTTGAGCACAAGAGAGAGACAGGAAGGGGTGGGGGCCACCAAGTCCTCTTCAGGCCACCAGTGACCGAACTTGTCTCTCCTAGGCTGCACCACTTAAAGGTTCCATCACCTCCCAGTAGTGTTAAGCTAAGGACTAAGCGTTTAATACATGAGCCCACTGTGCAGACCCAAACCTCAGTGACAGGACTGTCGCTGGCTCAGGGCCAGAAGCAAACCCGCAGCCATCGGTGAGACAGTAGCCTGAGCACTTGACCTGAACATTGATCGGAGACCCGTGACGCTAACACTCTGTTTCAGTCAAACGGAAGCACACAGGGGCCTCAGGTTCAGGGTAAAAGGTGGAGCCGGCCACGTGCGTCTTCATCCTCTCACCCGCCCCTCTTTCTATTTTCCTGCCTTCCTCACTGTGCGGGGAGTCCCTTCATTTCCACCTTCTTTCCTGCCTCCATCCCTCCTAAGCTTAAACTCCTCACAGGTTTGAGAGAGTTATACCAGGTTATAGGTGAGACCCAAAGTATCTCCACCCCAGAGGTATCTTTGCTTTAATGGGATGAGGCTAAAAAGTGGATCATCAGTAACAGAAGAACAGAAAATACAGAACAAAGGAGGAACTTCAGGGCCAAGCGGGGGCCCTCCTCATGTGCCTGTCATCTTGCCAGGGAAGGCTGGCGGTCCTCTTTGTGCTGTACCCAAAGCTGCTGTCACAGATACAGCAACACATCCAAGTGGCCCTTTATGCCCTTGAGATTAAAACCTAAAAGATGAAAATAGCAAAAATCTTTCGATGTTCATCTTCTAGTTCAGCATAACACTAGGTGGAAGAAAACCTCTTGGAATGCGACTACCTTTTAATTTGCTATTCTGGAAATCTAACCATGTACTTTCTGTAATTCCTGTTACAGGTACTGTTTTGAGGTGCTATTTAAACAAGCTAACACATTCAGATATGTTGGCTGTAGGCAAATTGAAGACTTCCCCAGGAAGCACAAACTCCAGCTGTGTCACTGTGCTGCCGAGTTTCTGGTCATCAGGTTTAAATGGCCACAGGGACAGAGATTTGAAGATTAACATTCTCCCTCACTGTTAAACACTGACTCATAAGATGCAACAAAAGCCTCTGCATTGGGGCTTACATTTCTTATGCCTGTCCAAACCCCACCCATCTTTCCAACCCAGGTTCTCGTAAGAATTGGGTGCTCCCAAGCCCATGACCACCTCTGTTCCCCTCCCAGGAGCCCTGGAGCCCCTAACGGTCAGCACATGGGGGCCTGGCTGGTCTCCATCACTTGTGATGGGCAATGTAACAGTTGGGATCAGCCCTGTCTGCTCATCTGGGTCAAAAGCCCAGCTCTGTGTGTTCTGAAATCTCTCACAGCACACTGCATGCTTTTAGAAAATAGACTGCCTCAGAGATCAAAGGCAAAGACAAAAGCACAAATGAAAGTACCTTTCAACAACCTCCAGTCTGTCTTCTTCTGGTAAGGCATCCAGAGGGGCAGGGACGTCTACAGGAAGCATGATGGGGTTATAGGAGTCGCAGCTGTGGAGGAATCACAGGTAGTCAAGGGCTGTCACCTTGCAGGCTTTTCCTGAGCACTTTCACTGTCTCATGGGTGACGCCTCTCTGTCTGCCCTCTCCCATGCTGGAATATCACCTGTGTTTCTGGAAAAGGCGAAGGTAGAGGGTGTGAAAAGTCAAGTGAGCCTTGGAGAAAGCTGCCAAGTGCCACAGCAAAATCAGAGGAGGGACTGGGATGTGGCTCCCAGGCAGAGCACATGTCCAACACGCCCAAGGCCCTGCCTTCCCCTGCACTGAAAACAAAAGCAGCTCAGTATGCAGCCCGGGGAGATGGCTCAGTGGAGTAAACACTACCCTGGCAAGTGCAAGAGCCTGAGTTCAATCCCCAGTTCTGCCAAAAGCAAACAAATAAACAAACAAAAAAATTATTTCAGTAGGTAAGATTCTGTTCTTTCCTGGTGTGGGAGAAAAGCTAGTCAGGTGATTTCCTTTTTGTCCTTAATGTTTCCCCACCTTTATACGACTTCTTAGTCACTCTGTCCAATTGCAAACCTTCTTCCCCACTCTCTTAGACATTGTTTGCTATCATAACTTTAGGGTTTGGGGCCAGCCGGATAACTCATTACACTAAAGAGCCTGCTTAGTCAGGTGCAGGGACCAGGGTTCAATCCACTGCGTGCTGTGCTGGCCCCATGCATGCCTGTCATTGAAGAGCTTGGGAGGCTGAAAACAGGAGAATCACTACAAGTGTGATCTGTGTAGTGAGACCCTGTAGGCCCTGTACTGAATACATTAAAAAAAAAAAAAAAACTTTAGGGCTTTATAGAAAGGTTCCTGAGTAATAATTAAGGGCATTAAATGATTAAGATAGAAAAAAAATTGTCATTATTTTAAAAGCTGGCAGCATATTTATTTAAGAATGGTATTGAATCTCTCGGGTAGATGATTGTTCAAAAGGAAAGGGGTGGTGAATGAAGGCAAGATATAGGAAAAGGAATGTTGTGGGACCGTCCTGCTTCAAGGTTGTACATGGTTAGATTTTTTGACTTATGTGTAAACTTAAGAATTATATAATTCTTTATGCCTATTTTTAAAATATATTCTAATTTTTTAAATGTTTTTTCATCATATTCTGTAGGGACTTAAAGTTCAACATATCAATACTTGATGAAAAATACCTGTTCCATGTTATGCCTAAGATGTTTGATATTCAGACAGATAGTGAGGTTAAGCTTAAGCTTAATGCCTAGGTTGTATGGTAATAACAATAAGCTTGTCTTCTGGAGGGTTAACAACCTAAGTTTGCAGACCAAAATTAGAGAAAAAGGAGGGCTGCAAGGAAAGCCAACATTTTGGCCCTAGCTTTCCAAGATCAATTAAGACTCAGGACATATGAGAACTTGTACTGTAACGTCATGTAACTCGGTAGTGTCCCAAATTTTCTGATCAAGGAGATTATGGGGCCAAAGAGAAAAGTGATTGATGATGTAGAGTGTGCCTAAGGAGAGTCACATGGAGAGAAAACATTCTCTCAGGCTTTCACAGAGAGCACATTGGCCAAGCAATGGCCGTGACTCATCCACATGGCTGACACTGACAAAGGATCTACAATCTGAGGTACAGGATCTCAGGATAAATCCTGAGGGGATTTCACTGACCTTATCAGACCCAAAAGCTACAATTCTTATTGCATAGGTCCTGCTTTACCTTGGACTTAACCATCCAGCAGAAAAGTATAAAAACGAAGTATAAGAAGTAAAGTCTTGGTGTTATGTTGAGCTGTAGGGGACTCAGGTCAACAATTTCTGACATTGCCAGTGAAGCAGAAGACCCAATAATATTATGGACTACTGGACTCTTTTAGAATATTTTGCTGAGCTAACACACCTATAATATTCAGATAACAGAACTTAAAAAAAAGGGGATACAGATGAATGTCCATTTTGTATCTGTGTTTTCAAAATGTTTAGGATAGATATGTAGTTACATTCTCTTAATGAATTGAGGATTTGTTCTAATAGTGTTTGTAAATAGGATATCAAATTCGCATCTTGTACAGCAATTAACCACTAGGAAGAATGTATGCAATGTGTTAATTATTGAAACTGTCCTACCAATTTGGAAGGAATTTTTTTTTTTTTTTTTGCCAGGAATTAAATTTTATTTTATTTTATTTTATTTTATTTATTTATTTTTTTTTCCGGAACCAGGGATTGAACACAGGCCCTCATGCTTGCCAGGGAAGCACTTACTCCACTGAGCCATCTCCCCAGCCCCTGCCAGGAATTAAATTTTAGTTGACAACTTTTTTTTTTGCAGAACCGGGGATTGAACCCAGGTCCTTGCGCTTGCCAGGAAAGCGCTTATTCCACTGAGCCATCTTCTCAGCCCCTTGTCCTACCAATTTGGTTTGAAACTGTCTCATTACTATTTGTTTCTCAATAAAATTATGGGGAAAAAAGTGGTATTGAAGCAGGAGGTGGAGAGGAGAAATTCCTGCAGAGGAAAGGTGGATTCTGATGGCTGGACCACTATTGACCCAGAAAAGAGGGTTCCTGAGCTATAGGCTTTTTGGGGGCCCAAGATAAACTCTTTAAAAACCATAGAGAGTGGCCATGTCTAACTAAGCCATCCCTGGGGATGCACATGCTATAGAATATTTTAAATAACTGAAAGTGAACCCAGTCAATTAAAATTAATGAATCTCTTTTACATTGTGGTTTCGACCTCCCACCTCCTGCGTAGGCTTTGGATACTAAGACAGTTCTTCAAACCATAGAAGGACTACCCAACCCTCAACAGAAAGGAGGACACTTTCTCTTGTAAGAGCAGTACCAGTTCAAAGGACTACTCCTGCCCCATAAAAACCACATATAGGCTGACACCTGGCTTCTCCTACGGTATGGGCTCTTTTCATTGGCCTGCTTCCACCTTGAGGCACTAATAAATAAAGGCTTTCATTTCTACCTATGTCTTCCTCAGTTCTCTGGTGTACCAATGGCCTATGGCAGTCACAGCACTTGGAAAAGGTAGAATGAGAACTTGCTGTTTCTAGTCTCAATTCCTTCTTTACAAAGATTTTACAACATTAAGGGCATAAAAACTGATTGTATAACAGCAGAGAGAACAGAAGAAAGCGTACAGTGAATTCACATTTTTAGTAGGTTTGTGGAAGCAATTTTTAAAGGCTTGAAAGAGTTCTGTCTTGTAAAAAGGAGCACAGAGTCACCCATGGAAGGGAGATGACCTGCTTCCAGCTGGGGGGTGAAGGGAAGGTGGAAACAGGAACAGAGAGAAGAGGTTGACTGAAGGGTTCTGTGTGAGTGCACACAGGACTTTGAGGTAAGTCATCCCTGTTTTGTTCTGCACAAAAGTGTATTTGTGACTGGGGAGATAGAGTGGCGGACTAAGCACCTGCCTAGCAAGCACAAGGACCTGAGTTTGATCTCTAGTACTGCATGCTGGGAACCCTGGGCAGGCATGCGCGCAGCGCTGGAATCCCTCATGGTGGCACACACCTGTGATCCAAGTGCCGAGGAGGCTGTGACAGGAGGATCACTATGAGTTTGAGCTGCGCAGTGAGACCCTGTACCAAATAAAAATTTTTAAAAAAGAAAGAAAGAAACAAAAAGTATACTTGCTCCTCCAGTGTGGACATTGCCTGAAAAAACTATGGCACCATGGTTTTTACACAGGGAAAAGAGGATGGGGAAGATGTCTGCAAACTGATACATAGATATTTCCAGGAGCTATTATTATAGACAGCTAAATTAGGTGGAAATGCTATAGGAAGTTGGACAGGGCTAGTCCCTGGAACGCGTCAGTGCTGGAGAGGGGGCACATTACCACTGTGGGTAGAAGCACATTCTACCGGGAAGGCGGGGCCTCCAGAGAAAGATGGAGTGACCACACCTACATACTTATCCCAGGGATAGCCTATATTCTAAATAAGCATCAATGAGCTGAGGGAGGGGCCAATCCCAAGGAAGGTCCTTGTTCTTTCTATGCATACTTGCTATGTGACTTGCTTCCCCCCTGGATCAATATTACCTAAGCTACTGTGCTTGTAATCTTACTGATTGATCATAGATTTCCCCCTCACCTTATAACCGCCTTGTGACTTTGTTCTAGGAAACCTCCCCCTACGTGGAGGGCAAGGCAACCTACTTTCCAGGTCCCCCTTCTATCTTAGGCAGAAGCTACCTTTCTCACAGCAAATATTTCCTATTTTTAACCTCCTTTGCTCCTAGAATTCATTCTACTGTTTTAGGAAACACAAATTCATTGTATTAGATATGCAGTAGGTTGGGAGTTATAATATTTCCTTTATATCATTTGGAGGTTAGGATCTTGGGTATATCATCCCTATATCAATATTACTAAGTAGAAAAAGGAAATTAGGAAGAGCATATATAGAGCTCCAGTTTTTGTATAAGAAACAAGGAAAACATAAGCATATTCTGCTTAGCATTACAAAGAGGAACATGGAAAGGATAAGTTAGAAGGTCAAGCTGGTTTCCTTCCCTGGGAGGAATGAGGGGCAGGGCCTAGCACAGTGGGAGGGAGGGAGGGGAATTTCTCTGAGGCCTTTTGTGTAGATTTGAATTTGGATATCATGTGAATGTTCTACTTCTTTTTTTTTTTTTTTTTTCTTTTTTTGAGACATCCTCTCACTATGTAGTCCGCCTGGACTTGAACTTGTGATCCTCTTGTCTCATCCTCCCAAGTGCTGGGATTACAGGCCCATGCCACCATGCCCAGCAGTGTTCTATACATTGAAAAAAACAAAGCTAAATCAATAAGAGAAATTTAAGAAAACTGCAGCAATTCCACAATCATCACAGAGAGAGAGAAAGAGAAAGAGAAGAAGAGAGAATGAAAGAAAAAGAGAGGGGGCAAGGAATAGGGGAGACAAGAGAAAGAAAGAGAAAAAGGGAAAGAAATGACCTAAGTATTTAACTATGCCTAGATACTCAGAGTCTTGGGTGGAATAAAGACAAGGTGATAAACTGCAAATAAAT